TACAAACAATGAAATGTATTCCATGTTTAGAGAAATATTATCATGGTGTCACAGGGTGACAATTACTTTTATTTTATTTAGATTTACTAGTAAATTAGTACAGCTAGTTTAGTCGTAGATATAGCTGTAGTGTAATTTCATTCATTCATCATTCGATCATTCATAGGTGGTCATTGTCATCGTGTTTGTATTCTATTCTTGTTTGTAAGGCATTCCGCGTCTCATGATTGTGTTTGGATGTCACGTGATTGTCTTGTGGACTATTGTTATTCTTGGGTGAGAGTGGAAGAACCACTATGTATCGGGTGTGGTTGCTATGTACGCATGTGTGAGTGCTAGTACAAATACTTTTGGACGAGCTTTTTCTTTCAATCTGGACATCGATGCTCTCCTGCGAAAAATCTACCAGGATCTTGCTTGCAGTTCAGCTTAAGATATTCCTTACGGAATCTTGGTTTTGTAACTGGTAAGAAATAAATTAATATTTCAAACTATTGAAATTAAATAGGTATTAGTGTGACTGAATTTGTATCTCTGTGTCATTTTCATTTCAGGTCACCTTTGTTTCACCTTTAATTATTCACTGTTTCTTCGATATTTGTCATGAAATGAAATACTTGTGGACCTTCATCTATGGATTTGCCTTTTCTATTCCTATGATGGAAGACCCCGTCACAATGGCATCATACTGACTACATGCATAGAGTAGCATATAACTGCCCTTGACAGTGACATAACAATCAAACATGATATTTAATTTTGCATGATCATTAGAATTAGAAAGAAATATTCTACACATGGAGAGTCCTATTAACACACCTGATTTTATAATCAAATAGGAATTAATACACAAAAATAAAAAAAAAATTCTTCATGTAGAGCAGTCTATTACCACACCCAGCTTAACACTCACAAAGGAGTTTATACATAACAAGAGGCCCACAGGCCACATCACTCACCTGAGCACATTGACTAGGCAAAAGCACAAATCAGTTCAGTATTGAAAAGATTACCGGGGGGAGGGGGGGTGGGGTGGGGGCTTGAATTTTAAACTACCTGATGATGCTTCCATGTCAATATAACAAATGGCTTTGTTGTACTTGAGAAGATTTTAAAAATTTTTTCCCATATATTCCTTTGGAAAAATTTGATCCCCCATTGTGGCTCCTCCCTATTCCAGAGGTCATCATTTGAACAAACTTGAATTTACACTACCTGAGGATGCTTCCATATCAATATGATTAAACATAGCTTTTCTGTTCTTGAGAAGAAATATTTTTTCTATATGTTCTTATGTAAAACTTTGGATCCCCCATTGGGCCCCATCCTACCCCGGGGGTCATCATTTGAACAAAATTGAATTTACACTACCTGAGGATGCTTCCATATCAAAATGACTAAACATGACTTTCAGTTCTTGAGAAGATATTTTCCTATATGTTCCTATGTTAAATTTTTGATCCCCCATTGTGGCCCGACCCTATCCCCGGGGGTTATCATTTTAACAAACTTGAATCTACACTACCTGAGGATGCTTCCATATCAAAATGACTAATCATGGCTTTGCAATTCTTCTTCAGAAGATGTTTTCCTATATATTTCTATTTAAGACTTTGATCATCCTTTGTGGCCCCACCCTATCCCAGGGGGTCATGATTTGAACAAAATAGAATCTACACTACCTGAGGATGCTTCCAAACAAAGATGATCAATCAGGGCTTTGCTGTTCTTGAGAAGAAGAGTTTCAAAATTTTTCCAATATATTTCTATGTAAAAATTTGATCCTCTATTGTGGCCCCACCCTACCCCCGGGGGTCATGATTTGAACAATCTTGAATCTACACTATCTGAGGATGCTTCCATATAAATATGACTCATCATGGCTTTGCTGTTCTTGAGAAGAAGACTTTTAAAGATTTTTCCTATATATGTCTATGTAAAACTTTGATCCTCCATTGTGGCCCCATCCTACCCCCAGTATCATGATTTGAACAATTTAGAACCTACACTACCTGAGGATGCTTCCATATAAATATGATTCATCATGGCTTTGCTGTTCTTGAGAAGAAGATTTTTAAAGATTTTTCCTATATATTTCTATGTAAAACTTTGATCCTCCATTGTGGCCCCACCCTACCCCCGGGGGTCATGATTTGAACAAACTTGAATCTACACTACCTGAGGATGCTTCCACATGAGTTTCATCTTTCCTGGCCTTGTGGTTTTTAAGAAGAAGATTTTGAAAAGACGCTATAAATTTTTCACCAATTCTTTATTATCTCCCCTTGAAAGAGGGTGTGGCCCTTCATTTGAACAAACTTGAATCCCCTTCACCCAAGAATACTTTGTGGCAAGCTTGGTTGAAATTAGCCCAGTGGTTCTTGAGAAGAAGTCGAAAATGTTAAAAGTTTACAGACAGACAGACAGACAGAGAGGTATACAGACGCTGGACAAAAAGTGATCAGAAAAGCTCTCTTGAGCCTTCTGCTCAGGTGAGCTAAAAATTGTAGAGTTATATATATTATACATATATCACATGGCTTTGAGGGTGACATACCAGAATGTTTGCCCCAAGGTGAGAGGAAAGTCCTGGCCCAAGGATCATGAAACAGACTTAAGTCAAATTAAATGGTTATTAATCATTGAATTAATCTTCAAATTTGCAGATAACAACACTTTTGTGAAGCAATATTGAAAAATATTTTAATTTTGGTCTGCTTGACTTCTACAACATATTTATACAATGTAAGGTTTTGACTTAAGATCTTTCATAATCATGGGGCCTGGAGTGTTATGTCACCCAATGCCAAATGAGATTTTATGAGTGGCTTTAAAAATGACTACCCATGCAAACCCAAAATGGATTTTGTAGAAAAGCAGTACATTTACGTATAAAAGCGGTAGGCGGTAGAGATGGAGTAAAAGAGTGGTAGATTTACGCCTAAAGCAGTAGAGTCAACATGTATGATTGATGAAATTTCATTTTCAAGTTATTATTCATTGTGAGCATTTTTGAAGAAATTGATGTACTGCTATTGTTATTTTCTTTTGTGGATGCCTCCTCTGAAACCATTGGTTGTGTAAATTCTGGTGGCTATTTTGATGGGACACTGGCTAGCTGACATTTGAGCTCTGCTCGATGCCATAATAAAATATGTGTCACAGACTTCGTCTCAATTTATTACCTGGCAATTTATCATTTTTGTTGAAGAATTATTGCATTTAAACTACCGTAATTTTTCAACTATACATCAATGGGGTGTATAGGTCGAAAGGCTCATTTTTAGCCTTAATTTAAAAAAAATCCTTAGAAAGGACGATTTCGGAACATAGGAGGGTTGTTTATCAATTTTCTAGAAATCCTTATTGTAAACCGTGATATTATCGTTTTGAGAAAATAAATGTGATATTTTAATGTGTAAAACAATATATACAGATGTTCCTTTAGTTGAAACTTTATTGAATTGTGCTACAACGTATTTTTCTCCAACTTGCCTGTTCAATGCTGTTGTAGTTTGACACTGTCATTAAACAATATCAACAAATACTGTAGTATACAATAGCTATTAATTAGGGAACTACTCCAGACCAAACAATAATTATTTCAATTTTAGAACACCATGGACGCATTCTTAATTTATTCAATTTAGACATTATTTACAATATTCCTTGGCATGTGACTTCTTGGGCTGTGCAAATCTTGATCTACTGTTGTTCTATTTTGCCATCTTTTATAATTATTGAAGCTAATATGATATGATAAAACTGTTCAAATGAAAACTAACCTCTATATTCCCTGTATATTCATTACACAGGACTACTATATGAACACTGCAAGCTAACTCTTGAAACACACGTGATCAGTGAAAGTATTGCAAACATTCCACATAAACACAAGCAATCTTAATGATTATCAATATTTTTCTCCACAGACTCTACATTTTAATTTTGATCACAAAAAATACCTTCAAAAACATAATCCACTTCTATACCTAACACCAGTTTAATATATTTCTCTTCAAAGTATAATGTACGTTTACAGACAGTAGTACATTAAATATAAAGATAATTTTTCAATTGATTGTGTACCTTTTTACACTGTCTTGTGGGGAATAAATGTTTCAAATACATTTATGATTTTAGAAATGGAAAATCGTATTTTAAACTAACACAATCAACATGATCAAAACCATTATAATAATTGCTGGTAATTTATTGTTCAGTATTGTTTATTTATAACTCTCCAAAATTCTCATGAATTTACCAGTGTATATACGCTTAACAAAATAATTTTGAACAAATTATTATTTAATTAATGAGCAGTGTAAGCTAAATTCTTCGAACGTCATAATAAATGTGCAACTTAATTGGGGGTAAACACGGGCTAACTATAGACGCTATTGTTTGTAGGTCAAGGTAACTGCCTTCAAACTGACTGCATGGCCAATGTTTTTACAACAATAACCACTAATTCAAGATAAGTGTGAAAAAGACAAAATTACTGCCCGGATAAACGAGTCATTTTTCAATGAAATATTATGTTTTGTAGTAGAAATCGACCGTTCAGATATGGAATGCGAATTTCCGGATTAATGAGACAGAATAACGTGGAAAAAAATTGGTTCCCAAAAAATATTGTCCGGAAGGTGAAGCGTTCGGATAAATGGCATCCGGATAAACATGGAGCCACTGTATTTTGAATTAGTTTCTTTAAAACTTAGCTAAATGCAAAATGTGACGGAAGGACAGAGGGACAGAAGACGGACATGACAAGCACTATAAGCCCTGGCCATATTCATGGTGGGGCATTATAAGTCTTACTGTGTATTCAAATAACACACTAAATTTGAATTTAATAGGACCATAAAAGAACATAGTAGGGAACCCCCCCCCCCCCAAAAAAAATTGTGGATACTAGAAGAATGACAGAAGGACAGAAAGAGTAATTACTATAGGATACCCACAAATCCTTGTGGGACCCAAATAATATGTCTACAAACCTGACAGCTTCTAGTCTTTTATCCTGTCTGACTAACTCTATAAATTCTTGTTGTCGAAGCTTAAATTCCAATGTGCTCTGAAATATACCAACAATTCAATTATTCTTTTCACATAATCTGTATTAAAACCTTTGTCAGGTAAACAAGAGGCCTTTGGGCCACAATGCTCATCTTTTTCCCTGCTGTTCTTCTCTTTATTCCCATGAAAGTTTTGACCCCATATTGTGACCACACCCAAGCCCAGAGGCATCATTACTTAACCAAACTTGAATCCATATAACATGGGGATGCCTCAATATCAATGTGATTAACATGGCCTTGCTGTTCAAGACTAGAGGCCCAAGAGCCTTGAATCACTATTCTGTTTGAAGCCTCTAAGTATCCTGTATATTTAGATAAAGTCTTGAAATTCCAAAAGTTAAAATACTCTGAGATCTCAAGATGAATTAACTACCAAAGTTTGATAATTCTATGCCCCTTATTATCTTAAATATTAAGATACAGCCACGAGATTCCAAAAGTAGGTCACAGTGACCTACTTTTTGGTAAACATACTCCAAAAATACCTAAACTGACAAAATTTGATGATTTTAAGTCTCTTATTATTTGAAATATTTAGATGTATGTCACAGTGACATTCTCTGAGCACCCAAGATGCATCAACTGACAAAATTTGATGATCTTAGGTCTCAAAGTGTCCAAAATATGCCTATAAATAATTTGAAAAAGAAGGATTGCAAAATTTAATGAGAGTGTTCTAATGAACACATGTGTTGCCTGCTTTGTAGCTTCATTAAAGATGAAAATAAATCTAAGTGTAGTTAGCTATTTATTTATTACTAGCATGATAGTTCATGAATGCACAAAAAAGCATCCACACATAGTATAAGACTGCGATAGAGTCTGACAATCAAAGAAAATATGATTTCCAACCCTCAAATGAATAATTAAGTTGATATTATTATAAATAATAATTTATCATTTTACCTGTGTTAATACCTGTTTCAAAGTCTTTATACCAATTGTCACTCTACACCATCCGTGGTGGGATACCTATCCTGATGTATTTTCATAATATTTGAATTTCAGTTTGTGTGGTAACTAATTATAAACACTCCGCCTCTCAAAATTCAAAAGTCTTAAGTTAAATTAAACTGTCTGGGGTATTTTTTTCAAAGTAGGTCAAAGGTCAAGTGGATTGTAATGCTGGTATATTTCATAATGTTTTATGACAATCAGTGCACATGCTAAATAGCATCGACTTATCCCTTAAATGTCAAAAATATGCTGTATATTGGTAATGCACAAATGCCATAGTGCCAAGTAATATACGTGCAAAATATCAAGTCCATATCTCTTACAGTTCTTGAGATACAAGGTGTGACAGACAGATAGACAGATGGAGAGATGCCAGATAAAGTGATCCTTAAGTTAACCGTGACCTACTTTTGAGGCAGCATGAAACAAGGTCCTAAGATGCATCAACTGACAATATTTGATGATCCTAGTCCTTATAGTAAACAGAATATCTAAGTTTTAACAAAACATAATTTTTGGTCAACTTTGAAGTGACCTTGAGACCACACCCTTTGCCCTAGGGTGATGGCTTGAATAATTTCAATCTACAACACATTCTCATCTTTATGTATAAGTTTGGTGATAATCTGCTTAGTGGTTCTTGAGAAGAAGGTTTTTTAGCAACGAGTACTTTTGTTTTCATTCTTTTAATTATCTCCCCTTGTTTAGGGGTCACATCCCTGTTTTTAGAATAAATGAGAGCCCTTGGGCCAAGGATACTCTGTGACAAAATTTGGTCTTGGGGTTCTTGAGATATGGCCCATATTCTAAAAAGTTTACGCACATCGCACAAATGGCCATAGCATTAGCTCTTTGAGCAACATTGTTCATCAATATCAAAAATCACTACAAAGAATTATGTACCTTACTAAGAGTATTCTACTTGTGTGCGAAGTTGAACTGAAATCAGATTAAAACTTGGCTTGAGAAAAGCAGTAAGCAGTCCAGTATTGAAAAGTTTATAAATATAGTGGGGGGGGGGGGGGGGCATCGTCTCAAGCCATGGTTCGGAGTCCGCATGTAGCTCTTTCCTACCTGTGACTGCATGTTCACATAAATTGTCGTAATCTTGAATATTTACACCTCTATGCTGTGATGTCATGTTCAGCCAATGACAATATTTATTTCCATCACAATTGAAATCAACTCTTGACATCGTCAGTAAACATAAATTACTTCGTAAACTGCGATTGGGTATTGAAAGGTCGTGTCAAAGTTCATTTTCTGACTATGCTTTATTTGCATTGGTCAATATTTCAATGAGCTACAAAATATTCTCTTCTCATTCAACAACGGCCAGAATGGGAGGGGATCGTACTTTTTGGCTGTGCTTTCCAACAATCTGGGGGGGGGGGGGGGGGGGGATGATTTGAACAAAATTAAACCTAAACTACCTGAGCAAGCTTCCATATCAATATGACTAATCCTGGCTTTGTTGTTCTTGAGAAGAAAACTTTTACAGATTTTTTTCCAATATATTCCTATGTAAAACTTTATCCCCCATTGTAGCCCAACCCTACCCCCAGGGGTCATGATTTGAACTACCTGAGAATGCTTCCATATGAATATGACAAATCATGGCTATGCTGTTCTTGAGAAAAAGATTTTTAAAGATTTTTCTTATATACTCCCATGTAAAACTTTGATTTCCCATTGTGGTTCCATCCTACCCGATTTGAACAAACTTGAATCTACCAATCTACACTACCTGAGGATGCTTCCATATAAATATGACCAATGATGGATTTGCTTTTCCTGAGAAGAAGACTTTTAAAGATTTTTCCTATGTAAAAATTGATCGGCCATTGCAACCTCACCCTACTCATGATGGCATGATTTGGACAGACTTTAATCTAAACTACCTGAGCATGCTTCCATATCAAAATGACTAATTCTGGCTTTGTTGTTCTTGAGAAAAGACTTTTACAGAATTTTTCCTTTACAATTCTATGTAAAACTCAGATCCCCACTGTGGACCATCCATGCAAGTTTGGACAATTTAAGGCTTACAGTTACTTGGAAATGAGATCTGCTCCAAAAACTTTAACCTGGTCACTCATCTGGTCACTCATCTGTATGTCATCTGAATCAAGTCCAGTAGTGTGCATCCTTAGGTGTAACATCCATGCAAGACTGGTCAACATAGGGCTTATAGTTACTTGGAAATAAGATCTGCTCCAAAAACTTTAACCTGCTCCAAAAACATTAACTTGGTCATTCTTTAGCTGAAATTGCTGCATCTGAAACCTTGACTGGTACAATGAAACACACAAGAAGCATCCTCCATGCAATATAGGGCATAGAAGTACTTGAAAAGAAATCTGCTCCAAAAACTTTAACCTGGGATGCCATGGCCGACACTGACGCCAAGGGTGTTACATACTGTATAGGCGGAAAATAACTCGCAGTGTAAATATTCGCTATATTCACGGTGTAAATAAATCCGTGAATTCAAGAAACAGTGAATAAGTTTTCAATAAACTTTTTTTTTTTTGAAATTTGAGTATAGACTACAACAGGTATATAGATACGTACGGTAGATAGTAATTAAGTAATTACGAGTGGTACTTGTCATTCAATTATCACGCTTTTCTTAAATCACATTAGAAGATAATGACCTGTATTTTTGGTTATAAAAAGCTGTTTTAATAGCCAACGCTACATGTTTGATCAATCAAAAGACATGGGTCGTGGGTTTTTATTACCCGTGCGTAACTAACATTAGGACGTGTATTTGTTTCCTGATCGTGCGTATTAGTTTTTATCGATATTTGAGCTAAAAACATATTCAAATAACTCTCGCACCTGATATCGATATGGAAGGATGTTATTCCGCTGACGTACATCAACACATTTATTATCGTCCAGTGGTTTTTCGCTGCGATGTGTTATCCCTTCAGAAAGAATTTTTTGGGGTGTACACTCATTGCAATAGCATACAGAAAGTCATACAACGTTTATAGTCAAAGATGTTTAACGGCACTTGTTTTGATTAATCGTAAATTAATTACCAAATCTAACCACTTTATTTATTGTTCAGTGAATACATAACGCTAATGAATGTTGTTTGGCTTTTCTGGATAAAGACAAGGGAGGTAACTTTTATCATATATGTATCACATATGTATACAAATTCCGCGAATTCAACAAACCGCGATCTTGTCAGAGGAGAGAAAAACGTGAAAATTACAACCCTTGAAATTAATCCATTATACAGTAAGCTCCCCAAACTTCACTGAGGTGAGCTTATAAAAATGGAACTAGTAAATTAACATATTTTGTCAATGGTCAGTTGCAAACTTATTTTGTTCAAAAACATTTTGATTCTATATCCAAGCACTCTGAAGTTGACATTAAAAAGATGCTCAAGTTTCTGACTGATATTATTTATGTAGTTTTTGTTAGAATTCCCATGGGTACTAATTGTACCCAGTTAATAAGTACACATTTTTTGTATCTGATGAGATTTGCAAGAGCATGTTTTACATATGAACAATTTCTAACTAGAACTGTCCAATAGGGACAAATAACCCCCGCTGGGTTTTTCAGAGAAGGTACCAAATCACTAATGTTTTCTAGATGTGAGATGTGTTCACAATTTGCTTAAACATTTAGAGTGAAAATTTAATTACTCATTATATATTTTTTTAATGAATGAAACTATGGTGCAGCCCAATAAAACATTAATATTAATAATCACAGGTTTTTTTTAATTACATTGAAAAAATAGTTTGCAACTATCTGTCATCTTTGTGAGACATGACACTCTGCAAATTGATTGTTAAAAAAAAAATATCATAATTAATTATACAAAATCAAATTGATTTTAATACCTTTATATCAAACTCATTTTAAAAATAAAAGGCTGGTTCAAGTAACTATGTATTTTGACAGACATAAATAACAATTAAGAGACTTAGACAACAGAGATCTTTATTTCTTTCTGCCCAATTCCCAGGAGATATAGATAAGACCTGCTTGATCAGAGATGCCCATAACA